TCAACATTGCCCGTTGGTATCCTCCCTCACATTGTTATAGTTCAGCAGAAGTTCGGGTATTTACTTATGGAACAGAATATTGTGTAAAGCCTAGCCACCCAGTTCTCAGACAATTTACAGAGTCTCCTCAGGCTAAGGCTACTCTTAAACCTACTGTTGCCCGTATCTCTGATAATAATATGTACCTTAAATACGTTAAGAGAGCCGCTAAAGCAGAAAACCAAAGTAACTGTTGGGTGTGCAGTCATTTTCCTCTCCACACCCAAGGAGGAATTCCCATGACTCCCATCCCCTTGGGCCCCATCGAGTCACTTTTAAACCCCTCTAATAACCAAGCTTGGGACCAAAGTCAGCAGGAGTTCCTTTTAGTAAAGACTGTTTTTGGAGATCAGTGTTTCTATATAAACTGCTCAGTATCAGACTGCATTAACTTAGACACAAGCATATGTCACCACTATTTTACTAGTTCAAGTGGAGGAGACTGGCGTAATAATAACACAGCAACTCCTACCTATTGCAGCTCTTACAATGATTTCTACAGCAGCAAAAATTTAACCAAGGGCACTAATCCTATCTACACCCCCATCTCCTCTTTAAATAATATCTTGTGATATTGTTTATACACTGATACCTCCCGGGGACAATGCTTCTTCAATAAAACTACAAATCCTTCCTTTAAATCAAAGGGTAAATGCGGGGTGCTAGAATTAAAAAACGGAGGCCAAATACCTCCTAAGTATTCAAACCTCGCTGCTTTAAAAGGACAATACTGGGTCTGTGGCTTCCACACCTACCATAAAATCCCTGCCAAAGGAAAAGGTATCTGTTATCCGGCAATGCTAAAACCCTCTACGTCCTTCGCCACGCACCTTCCACGGGGCAGGTGGCAAAACAAGAGGGATTTACAAAAAAGCCATGATATAGTAGACAAATATCAAAAAGCTCAACTTACCAAGAAAATATTACTCAGGTGTTCCCTTGCAAGTATGCTCCCAGAAATAGAAAGAACCATTTTGAATGGGAAACTCCACAGCAAAAAAATCACACACAAAGTGGACTGTATTAAGTATGGTTTAAACAGGGACTATGGGTTCTTATGCCATTGCCTGGGTTAGTTTTTGTGACCCCTTTGTTCCTATGGGTTTAACGTTTGTTTCTCTGTCCTAGCACCGCCCCTCCTCTCTCCCCGGTCCCTTGTCATAGGTATTCTAATTTTTCTCTCCTTCTTGCACTCTGCTTTCTGCACATCCTTTCACAGCATCTGATGAAGTTAACTTGGGTTCATGAAAGCTTATAGTTTCTCACATGTCTTAGTTAATATATATACTGTGCCTTCAGTCTAACATGGCTACCTATCTCTCTATAGAATAGACATCACCATAGTCCTCCGTGCAAGAAATACCCACAAGTCAATTACCATGCCATTCAATAGCCCAGGTGGGTTCATCAGGCTTTGAGGATTACCCAGGAACCTGGATAAATGCAGGCCCTGTGTTTCCAAATGATTGAATTTTATCATCAAGCTGATGTAGGTGCTCATTATCACGATGCTAGGAGACACAGGATTCTTGGAATTGTAAGTGTGGTGAGCATGTTTGTTATTACCCTGAAATAGAATAGTTTTCTGATAGCATACTGTTAGGTTAACAATAAGTTGGATTATTAAGAAGTATTAGCTTTACAGCTGAATACAAGGCATGACCTGTGGCCTAACAATGCAGCTGACCACAAGGCAGAATGATAGCTAAGCCTTTGCTTGCGTCAAGTAATCATTTTAACTGTATTAAGCATTTTCTGAGTTAAAAAGTGGATCTGTGTCTGTGTGCTGAAAAATCAGCTACAGCAAAAAGTAAGATAAGACAGGGAAGCCATTGTTCTGGGTGCAGTGGTTGTGTCCTTGAGAAGTATCTACTACTGTGTAAGGTTTTGCTAACATATTATAATGTTACTGTTACTTAACTTTTAGCTTTTAAAAAAGTGCTAGTTCAGCTTAATAGAAATATGCTGTTACAAAGATTTGTAAAGCACCGCCCAAATATTGCTTTTTTGTTAACCCTGTAAGTCTTGCCTTATTGTAATAAGTATAAAAGATGGCCTCACCCTTAAGGGGGGGGCATTTTGCCTTTTGCTTGCATTATAGTCTTTGCTCGAGCAAATAAACAGCTGTCTGTCTTTACCCCCGTTGTCTGTCTATCAAATTACAGGTAGACAACGATCCTTAGGGAGGTTTCTCCCACCACAGTGGTGCAGATCTAGCTCTCTGCCCCGCCCCAACTTAGCCACTGCAGTTTGCTTTGGGATGGTACGAGCCAGCCCCGTGCCTGGACACTGTGAGATTGAAGTGGGGGCAGGGCTAGGATTTGCAGGGGAGTGGGGTGTTATGATCTTTGTAAATTTATTAAAATATTGAGTTTGGAACTTCAAGTAGCTGCCGCTGGGGTCTGCATGAACCAATAGGGTAGGACAGAACACTGGTCTCCTGCTCTTTTCCCTCCTCTTGCTCCCCAATCAGTGGGCAGCAATGGGGCAGTGGAGTCCCGCAAGGAAAGGGTGCAGGCCTCTTCTTGGGCGCTGATTGGGCACCACAGCAGCAACCTCTCAGTCATCACCCAGGAGGGGTGGTAATTTTCTGAGACCTGCGTGCCGATTGGCTGAGAGAGTGATCCGTCTTACCAGCGCGCCTTTTCATTGGCCCTTGCTGTAGCTCAATTGAGCCTCCCTCTGCCCGGTGTCTGCCATTGTGAGTGAGGGCGGGATAATGGGCGGGCGAAGCCGCCATCTTGGATGGTTGCAGGAAAGAAAGCAGAGGAGGGAAAACGGCGCCATCTTTAGTGATGGTGAAGCGAGGAGGGTTGGGACGGGGGGACAGGGTGTTACCATGGGGAGGCCATCTTAAGCGCTGTCAGAGGGTGTCGAGACTAGGAAAGAGCAGCCCGTGTTCGCTCCAGGGGCAGAAAACCTGCGGCCCCGGCTGCACCCTGCCTGCACGGGGCCTGATCCTGGGATGCCCCTGTTCCCCTTGCAGCTGGGCCAGCAGGAGCACTGCAGTGCCAGGACTGGTGACCCATAGCCAAGGGCTGCGCCAGCCGAGGATTAGGGGTGCTGGATACTATTCAGACCCTCCAGGCTGAACTTGGGGCCTTGCTCCAGTGTGCTTCCAGGCTGCTAGTGGAGACACACCAAGCCCAGTACTTACCCACTGGCACCTGCCAAGGAGCATCTGCTTGGAACCCTAGTGTCCTGCACCCCAGTCAAGAGTCCCCCTCAGTCCCCAACCAGCTGGGCTGGTATCCCAGGGATGTCACCCCAGGCAGGGCAACCACCAGCCAGTGTGTTGGGGGAGGAAGGGAAGCCTCAAACACAGCCCCAGCCCCCCACCTACCCCTCCCACATAGCCCCACAGTGCATCTGTAAACTCTCAGCCCTGCCACCCCCTCTCACCCTATTTCTCACATATAACCAGCAATAAGAATCATAGAAAATTAGGGTTGGAAGAGATCTCAGGAGGTCATCTATTCCAGGACCATTCCCATCTATATTATCCCAATCAAGGCTTTGCTTACCTGGATCATAACAACCTCTAAGAATAGAGCCCAACTCCCGGTGGCTTTTAAAGGAGGGGGGAAGGAATGCATGTATTATGCCATGAAAGTGGGAGGTTGGTGGGGATGAGGAGAGGTCCAGAGACCTAGGGCAGTGGGGGACCTGGGCTCTCCACGAATGCCATGGGGGTGGTGGGGTGATGTTTCCTACCTGCAAAGCGTTGCAGTATGCTGGGTGGGAGATGTCAAGTGCAAGGCATTATGGGAAAACGGTTGAGGGCTAAACCTTACTAAAGGACGTGTCGGCCCTACCCCGCCCCCCGGCTGGCGGGCAGGGACACTGGCAGATCCTGAGCCCCGCCTAAGAGAACTGGGGCGCATGCGCACTACAAACGGGCCAACAAGCCCCTCCATCCATCAACCACGAGGGGGCGAACGCGCTGTGGCGCCTT